ATTGTGATGGATGTGATATGTACGGATGGATGTGTGGATGGATGAGATATATATGTGATATATATTTATATGAATTCATTTGTCATGATGGAACGTAAAAAAAATATAAAATTACCGTTTTGGTCACTTTGCCGAGTGTTGCACTCGGCAAAGGATCCCGTTGCCGAGTGCCATGGTCACAGCACTCGACAAAGCTAGAAAAATGGGCGCTCGGAAAACCATTTTTCTATCTTTGCCGAGTGCCATGACCATGGTACTCGGCAAAGATTTTTTTAAAAAAAAGAAATTCAAACTTTGCCGAGTGCCGGTCAGAGGGTACTCGGCAAAGAAATTTTTTTTAAAAGAAATTCAAACTTTGCCGAGCGCCGGTCAGGAGGCACTCGGCAAGAATTTTTAGAAAAAAAAATAAAACATCTTTGCCAAGGGCCGGATAGAGGGCACTCGGCAAAGATTTTTTTAAAAAATAAAAAATCTTTGCCGAGTGCCTGCAGGGTTGGCACTCGACAAAACAACCGTCAACGGAGCCGGCGCCGTGACGGTCGCTTTTCTTTGCCGATCAATTTTTTGCCATATATTCTTTGCCAAGTGCCGCACTCGGCAAAGGCTTTGTCGAGTGCAATTTGAAAGTGCTTTGTTGCCGAGTGCCGATAAAAGACAGTTCGATAAAATTTGATCAATTTTTGCCATGTATTCCAAGTGCCTCACTCGCAAAGGCTTTGTCGAGTGCAATTTGCAAAGAACTCGGCAAAATCTGAATCTAGTAGTGTATCATGGGTGTAGCGAATGTATTGGCCGGCTTAGCAAATACATTCCGTGTGATTTGACGCGTTTGTTTGGCAAACCTGAGCTACGGGTTTGTTTATATAACCTATATATAAGCAAGCAAGCTGGCAAATTAAAAGGGTTGGGGGGATCATGAGAAATGAAAACAGTGAGTCAATTGGGATTATCTCAGTTATTTCATTTTTGCTAATTTATTCACGGACACCCACGCGCACACTGTTGGATATCTTGCGCAAACCCATCTCAACGATCCATGCGTCTTTTTTTTATAACCACGTACACATATTTTTCTTATATTAGACTTCGATTTTAGTCTCATGTAGGAGATGCTTCTTTTCTTATTATCCCCCTCTTATTAGCCATATGCAGCCGTGTGCCTTGTAATATTAATACAAACTACTACTTCTCACAAGATGTTTTGGGGGTAAAGGATAAATCCCCAAAAATCCTCATAAAACTAAAAACACATATAACCTTTAATGTAATAGACTAATCATCCTTACTAATAATTAATAGCATTAGATTATTTTGTTTTTAAAAATTAACCACATTTGTCATTATGTAAATATATGAAGTAAGCCCCTAAATTTACATCTAAATTGCCCACATCGTCATTATGAAATATAATTTAAATGACCCCTAAGTTCGCATTAAAATTATTTATGTATACATTACGAAAGCTAGTTAGACCCCTTATTTGCATTACGATAGCTAGTAAGACCACCGTTAAAAGTGCTTGCTCTAAGTTTACACCTAGTGTTAGTGAGGTTTACATATCTCTTACTTACTTGGTGCTTGCGCGCACCATTATTATACATCGGAAGGTCTTATAGTCTTGCGAGACCACACCAACCGCATTTGTCACAACTAAAAACTCGAATATTTCTATGGGTGATAAAATTTTCTGTGCATTTTTCTCTATACACACAGAAAAATTGGTAATTAAGGTGTGTGTTTCAAAAATCCCGACAGAAATATTCGAAAACCCACAGAAAAATTGCGTGATTTTTCTGTGCGTGTCAATACACACAGAAAAATCGCCATTATTCTGTCAGTCTTTTCAAAACTCACAGAAAAACTATATACACGCACAGAAAAACTATATACACAAAAAAATCCTGAGAGCCCCTAAACCTATCTCCAGACGCGGCCGCCCATCCCTATCCCAAACGCGCCGCCCGCACCCGCCTGAGACCACGCCCGCACTCCGTCGCTCCTAGGTCTCCTCAGCTCCAGGCCCGCCGCCCCATCTCCATATCCGGCGCCCGCAGGCCGCCGCCAGCCACCCCAGCTCCATGGCCGCCGCCCGCCGCCCTAGGTCCATCGCCGCCCGCCGCCCCCAGATCTGCCTCCTGTCGCACCAAGGAGCTTCGCCGCCCGCCGCCCCCAGATCTGCCTCCCTCTCCTCTCTTCCACCGTCGCGGTGGCCACCCCCTCCTCCACTACAACTCCTCCCCTCCCTTCCCTCGGAAGACGGCGGTGGCTGCCCGTGCAAGACCGGATGGCGGCGCCTCCCTTCTCCAGACCAGCCGACGGCGCCTCCCTCTCCTACCAGATCCAACTGGTGCCCCTCCCTCCACCCACATCTGGCTGGCGCTGCCTCCCTCCTCCTGCCGGCGTCGACTCCCTCCTCTAGATCTGCGCTCACCCTAGTCTTCGTCGGGCCTTCGACATTCGCCAGCGACGAGCACCCACCAGGTATGCGCCCACCCCTTTGCTCTCCCTTGAAACCGAGCACCCAAACCCTAGCTAACGTAAACTATTTGGGTTTTTGTGCTCGGTTTTGGATTCAATTTGGGGGTGGATCGATAGATCAATGTGTGTGAGCTGCGGTTGCTCAAACCTGGTTCATGTTTAATTAACCTGTCACATGTGTGCTATTTTTAGAATTAAAAGCACGCTCCTGTTGTTACAATCTCCAATATTTTTTAGAGCTCATACATGGTGTAGATGTTTGAAAAAGACTTGAATTTCTAAACTGATACATTTTCGGTTATGAAGTACAACAATTATTGTCTAGTAACAGTTATTTCTCACTATCTTGGGTTAGCGTTTCACATTACTTAATTCTCTGTTGTACTGAAATGCTATGTATGTGTAGTCATTTCCATTGTCACAAGTATAAACTTGTGAATAAAAAAGACTGTTACTGAACTGTACCTGCATCTATTTTGGTCTACAGATTTTTTAGACATCTTTCTCATATAAGAAAACTTGCCCATTCTACCATGTTAGCTTTCTGTTATTGCATTCATGTGACAAACCACTCAAGATTACTCAACATCAATAATATAGATGAACATGGGTACTGGACATTATTGTGCCAATTGGCTACTTGTCTTGCATATCGCATTCTTTCATGTAAAACATCAGTCACATTTTTCATTGTTTAATTAAAGAAACTTCAAGTACTAAGAAGCACGTAAAATCAGCAAGCGATTGTGAATTAATTTACCATGCTTCATGGAAGATCCTTCTCACATGGAATATTATGTGTTCAACTTCTAGAAGAATGTTCTTCTCCTCTATTGTTAGTTCAAACCGTTGTCTTGGTGGAGATGGACCCCTCTCATCCAGTCTCCTTGGGGGTCTCCCAGGATTGTTTCTTTGGCTGCTCCAGTTACCAGATTTGGCACCCCATCCATCTGCTTTCCAGTCCTTGTTACCAGAATTAGTTCTCTTTTCATTGAGCAGTACCTTGTGAGTTCTCAGCAGACTCCATCTTATCTTTCTCACCCCAACTGGATCCTGCATTAGACTTGGCATTTGGTCTTCCAATTCCATCTCAGCTGGTTGTCCAGATACAGTTGCCTCGCCTGTTGGCTTCTCAGTGCTCCAGCCTCCCCAATCAGTGGAATTGTCCTGCACCTTAGCATGCACTTCCCATGAATTATCTTGATCTGCTGGCTTTGCAGCCACTCCACCTCCACTACTCCAGCATGGTATGACTTCTACATCATGCCTATGATTTTTACCACTGATACTGTCAAATAGTTGCTCCATTGTCAAATAGTTGCTCCATTATCAAATCTTCATGTGTCCTGTATTTGAGCACGATGTAAGACATGCACGTATATATTTAAGTCTAAATAAGCTGTGAACATGAGCACAATTTATTACAATCTCACACAATGATCATATTTCAAGGTACCCTTCATGATTTCTTAATGGTATGTCCTTAAATCATGAAATTGTGAAAAAAAAACTACCGAGGTACATGCGAACCATGGCTATGCATGTGTCTTACTTCTAAATTTCCAATTTCATGCCACTAGGTCTCTATCGGTTGTATAATTACTACAATGGCATCGAAAAGATTATTGGGGCCTTGGATGAAATAATGCATGATTTAGAATTCTAATATTTGTTATTGTTATTATATATACACCACATCAAAAGTTCCTGACAATAATATACATAAAGATTGCAGCAAAGAAGGTAAATGATAGGCTGATTTTCTGATCTTCATTTTACCCTTCTATGCAGTTCAACTGTTGGCATTAAATCTTTGCCTTCTCATATGCTTGGTATAGTAGACTTGATATGTCTCTTTTCAAGACAAAAAATCTCCCCTAATACATATTCATGTTCATTAATGCTATCATATTCTTCTAAATGAGCAGGACTGGTGTCTCCTCCGCTTATTCTTGAATCTGGATCACTTATAGATCCAGTGTACTCGGGTATTGCACTATTTAGACTGCATGTACTGCTATTTTAGCAAATGGAAGCACCTTAATCTGCCAAGCTTTTGGAAGACTCGAAGTGGATGTCCCAGTTGCTAGGACACTGAATACTTAGAGTGAACGTCTTTGTATTGTCTGTAGCAGGCCAGTCTATCCATCTCTGCCTAAGGTGTGCTTAATACCTGTTTGCTATATGCTTATCTTTACATGTTTGCCATCCCTTAAAATGACAACACTTCTGAGTGAGATCTATTTTCCTTCTATGAAACTTGCAAAAATTACAATTGAATTATACAAGATGAGAAGGTCTTATCATGACAACATTGCAATTTTCTGTTCTATTTTCTGCAGTGCGTTCTATTTTCCTTACTGTTTTTTCAGTAGATGGCATTCGGTGCAAATCATATTGGCTTGTGACCTGAGATGAAAGGTACTGAGCAGTCCCCACTATGCTCAATAAAAAGGCAAACTTCTTACAATACTAGTGTTTTTTTTGTTGACTAAAAATATGTCTTTGCTTAACAGGTAGAGATGGAGTGGAAGGTGAAGCAGTTTCTTTCTCCTTCCCCGCTGCCTCCCCTGACCTTGAGAGCCTCCCCTTCTGATGCGACGAAGACCATGCTACAGTTCTTTAAATGTGAGATCTCTCTTCCTCCTTTACATTCAAGCATGTCTTATTACAAGCTTGAGTTGACTAAATGCAGTGCTGCTCACTTTGGTATTTCTATTATAGCACGAGCACGATAATGTATGGACTTTACATTTTTGTTAACGTGTTAGGCAAAGGTTCTTGAGTAGTTATATCAGTTAAATGTTAAGTTACTAGCAATGATTTCATGAGCATTTTTTATGGGACTGCAGTCACATTTCTTTATATATTTCCTTCTACAAGTGTGCTCTGTCAGTTGCATTCATTTAATCAGATGTCATTTGTTTGTCTAGTTACTATCCTTCTGTGTGACACTATTGCTGATACATTTCTTATCTTAGGTTGTGATGTTTAACGCTATTGTATGTCAACATTGTTGCCAAAAGTAATGAATTCTTTCAACATTGTTGCCGTCTTTTATGCTAAGCGCATTGTGGGATCCTCCTAGATACACTAGGCTCTTTTTCCTGAGTGGTTAACCACTAGACCTCTAGTTATATCAACAGTTTAATACGTTATTTGTGAAGCAAAATATACATATCATTGAAAGTAAAAGCCGCTGCTCACTAGCTGTCTCTGTATGTGGTTCTTCTAACTAGACACATTTTGTGATGCATTAGAAACTTGATGCCATTCTATATTAACAATGTAATATACTTGTGCAATTGGTTTCATAGAATTTTATCATGTGCAGTACCTTGAGCTAACTCGTTCATTTTAACAGATGGTGTAACAGACTACTCTGTTACTGGTAGCAAGTCAAAAGCAATACTGGCGGCTCAGACGAGTAAATCTACAGATATGCTTCATCTTCAGACCCCAACCATCACTCCACCAAAATCCTCATTCAACTTCAAGCCCAGCACCTCCATTCTTGATTAACAGATGGTGATGGAGTGCTGATTGACAGTTTCTTTCACAGCAACAGTTAATTATTTGATTCTTTCATTTGCTAGCGGGTCCATCAGTAATGCTTCGTTTCTTTTATCTGATAGCAGGTCCCTTCAAGTACTGTATTTGTGTATTATTTGAATGAAACCTTGTTGGTCATGCACAGAAATTACTGTATGGAAAATATATATTTTAATATGTTGTTGCTAATGTTTTAAAATAATTTTTTTGTGCATTCAACTCTTTTTTCCTGTGAGGCTGGCTACATAGAAATATTATTTTTAATCTGGGCAAAATAAATTTTTCTGTGAGTTCACCTAGACCGACAGAAAAAAACATGTGTTTTTCTGTGCGTTTATTTCTTTTTTCTGTGTGGATTAACACACGGAAAAATTAGTTTTAATCTGGGCGAACACAATTTTTCTGTGCGTGTGAGACCCACAGAAAAATTTGATTTTTTTGTCATTATATTTCTATGTGTATTTTTCTGAGGGTACACCGTCAGAAAAATATTTTTCTGATGGTATTCGCATTTTTCTGTGTGTTTTCGCACACACAGAAAAAAGTGAGATTCCAGTAGTGTGTGGTGTGGCCGCAACCGTGTACCGGAGGGAACGAGGCCTGCGTGAAAGCCCTAGTTTGGTTTTGGATAATTGATGAAACCTAGGACTAACCTTTGATCTAAGTGTGTGAATTAGATAAGGTAGTCCAATCCAAGTGGTGAAGCTAGATGATGGTCATGGTGAAGGTGATGACGATAAAAGAGATGATCAAGTGCTTCATATTTGGAAAAGAAGAAAGAGAAAAACAAAAATATGCTCAAGGCAAAGGTATATTGATAGGAGCCATTTTTTGTTTGCACTCAAGACACCATAGAGGGTGTGAGTGATTTAGGATCGATAGTCATACTATTAAGAGTGGAATTATCATGGTTAATACGGATGTCAAGTGCCGCTAGGTGATTTAATTCCATGCATATGCATTAGGACCTTGTGTGCTAACATTTAACCTTTGAAAATGCTTGTGAAAAATGCTAACACACATGCACAAGTGGTAAGACACTTTGGTGTTAGCACATAGAAACAAGGGTGTTGAGAAACGTGTTGAAAGTGCTGGTCTCGGGGAGACCGGATGCGTCCGACACAGGGATCGGACGCGTCTGGTATTTGACTCAGCGGCAGTTTTCAGAAGAGACCGGACCGTCCGGAATAGGGACCGGATGCGTTCGGTATTTGACCCCAGCATGAGAAGCTAAGGCAGGGATGACCGAATGTTGGGCTGTGTCCGTTCGCGTTGGATCTGACGCATCAAGTCATGCCGTGGACCTCTCAGTGTAGATTTTCATCGTGACCAGACTCTGAGTGAAATGTTGACCTGACTCTGAGCAGTGCGTCCGGTCAGAGGAGATGTTTTGAGCGGTGATGTGCACCTAACGCAGGGTGCGTCCGGTCAGCGGTACCGGATGTGTCCGGTTGCAGTTGAGAGGCTCTGAGAGCTCTCTGGACTCGACCTAACGCTGCCTCGCCTACGTCCGATCGTTTTCCAGCAGCGCGTTCGATCGTTCACTAACTTTCACGTAGAGAGAGCCGTTGGGCGCCAACGGCTATATACGTTTGAACGAGACACATGGCATCTAGGCAGTGACCGGACGCAGCGACACCGGACACGTCCGGTCAGTTTGTAGATAGCCCAGTGAAGGGGTATAACGGCTAGTTGAGTTGTTGGGTCTCTATAAAAGCATGGTGGCCGGCTCTTGCTCACCCTCTTGGCTCTCTAACCTGTTGATACACCCTGTGAGCATACTCCCACGCCTCCCACTCATCGAGCTTGTGATTTGATCATCCAAAGTGAGATTGGGAGTGATCCAAGTGCATTTGCCTTGTGTTTGAGCATCTAGTGGCACTTGGGATCGTGTTGGTTGCGGGTCTTCTTGTTACTCTTGGCGGTTGCCACCACCTAGATGGCTTGGAGTAGCGGAGGAGCTTCGGCACATGTTGGCGATTGTTCGTGGCCGTCTCTAGTGATTGTGAGGGGTCTTGTACCTTCCTCGGCGGAGAGCCGAAAGGTAACTCTAGTGGATTGCTTGTGTCATTGAGTTACCTCATTTGTGGGTAGGTTCTTGCGGTGTCCAATTGTGTGGACAAGGTTCGTGCAACACCTCTTTGCCGCCGAACCTCCAAGTGTTGGTTGACACAACGGGGACTAGCGTGCCGGCAAGCACGTGAACCTCGGGAGAAAAATCACGTGTCTCTTGTGTGATTGAATTTCTTCCAGTGATTGGATTGTCTACATCTTGTGATTGGTTCATTCCTCGACGCGGCGGTATAATCACCTTACTCACTCCATTACTGTCCCGCAAACTAGTTGTAGCAAGCTCTTTAGTGTAACTGGAATTGAGAGCTTGCTTTGTAGCTTAGTTTCATCTAGTGGAGATCTTTAGTGTAGCCTTGTTGAGAGCTCTTAGTGAGTAGTAACTTAGCCCCTTGTATGCCTAGTGATTATACCTACTAGAATTGTTGGGATAGGTGGCTTGCAACCCTTGTAGAGCTAGAGCAAAATTGCATTACGCCATTTGGCATACTAATCAAATTGCTCTAGTGATCTTGTAGATTTTTAAATAGGCTATTCACCCCCCCTCTATCCATATTAGGACCTTTCACCGCGGCGATTCACCAGAAGCTCGCTAGTGAAGACGACGGGAGCAATGCAGGAGAGGCCATCTCAGAGACCCACTTGCGTGTGGGGAAAGCCCGAGGGCTATCCACGGAGTTACCCAAACAGAGCTTGGCCCTTGAGAGGGCTTCCTCGCGAGGGGTCCAATGAGGAATAGGGGGGAGCGAGGATAGTCCGAGTATGAACACTGGTGTTGTCGATGTGCTGACGGACGGTCTGGTAAGCACCGGACGATCCATGAGAACAGTCCACCATAGCAACTCTAAAAATCGTAAGTGTTGGATGTCGCGGACGGTCTGAGCTTTAGGCGGACGGTTTGAGGATCCAAACCCAAAACTAATTAGTTTTGTTGGTGAATATTTAAATTTTTTGGACTATCTGCATGAGCGGCAGACGGTCCACCGGTGCACAACCGAGAAGGGGTGTCCTCGAGTTGCAAAAATGATTTTTTGTTGGACTGTCTGCTTGTGTCACGGATGGTCCGCTGGGACAAGACTGTAGGTTCCAAGTTTGTGAAGTTTGTAGCTGTTCTCCTGGATGGCCCGCTGTGCGGACGGACGGTCTGTGAAAACATCAATGACTGGGACAAAAGTGCAAGCTCTCTGAGTGATTTGACGGATGGTCCATGTGGACGTTTTCAGTGCAAAAATGAACATCACAAAATGGAGATGATAATCTATGTGTTATGCATGTCAAAACTGTTGTTGTGGGGTGTTTCTAGGGTACTATAGAACATATCTAGCTAGTCAAACTAAGCTACATTGCATCTATCTACCATCTAGGTCATAAGGAGTGTTTTTTAGATGATGAAGATCTAGTTCATGAATGTGATGAAAATGTGCATAAAGCTCGAATCCAACCTTACCAAGGGAGTCAGAGGGTGTTGTTGGGCTTCTCAACAAGATGAAGAGGTTGGTTCTCCCCCTTCTTCCCCTACTCCTCCCTTTTCTTGATTTCTCCTCCTCCTCATAGCTCCAAATGGTTAGGGAGAGAGGCCTCATCCCTCTTCAATCCCCAACCTCTTGTGGAAAATACCTCCTACTTGATCTCCATGGTTCCTTGCTAGTGACGGTAAATGTCCAATCCCTTCTCCTTGCTCCTCCTTACTCTGGGTGTGTGTAGAGAGAGGGAGTGGAAGAACTAGAGAGAGAGAGAGGGTGTACGGGAGTGAAGCGAGTGAGCGTGGGAGAGTGGAGAATGCTGGTGATTAATTAAGTGTTTCCATGAAATGGACACCTATGTTGACATGTGGGGCTGGAGAAGCTACTATGGTGATAGCTCACTGCTGTGCATGGGATGTTCTAGCGGATGGTCCAAGTGAGCGTCTGACGGTTCGTGAGAACACAAATGGTCTGAAAAACCTGTAAGTTTGTGCTAATGTTCTAGTGGAACATTCCCGTGGTGTGGTGAACTGTTCGCGAGAACATGCAGTGCCCAGTGGTAAATAGGGATGCTAGCAAGACAAGCTTTAAGCCAAGTCAAACGCCTAGCATAGGAAAGAAGCCTACCTTTCCAACTAGCAATACTTGTGATAACCTTATCCACTACAGTTTGTAGATCCTCTCTCCTTAGTTTTGAGCCTAGTATTATGCTTGACCATGTAACCTCGTGGATTCGATGTGATTTGGTATGCGGAGTACCTAGAAAGCTAGTACCCCGGTACATCTTGGCTATTCATTGGGTGACTTTGGACTTGCATGAGAAAGGTTGATGTGATGAGTTACCCCATACGAACCGACATGTCACTTGGGCGATGACTTTCGTTCTCATGATGGTAAAATATCCTCTATAGAGTTTTTGAATGATAAAACCATTTCAAAATATCGCACTTTCGGTTATGAGCACGTTCATGATTTCAAGCTTCAGAGTTGTTGTCATGAAAGGACTTGTGGAAGATCGAGCTCCACCATGTGCAAATGTTCATGCTTCTAATTAACTTACTTGTGCCTAGTAGTAGATGGTAGACAAATTTTACTTAATGCACAAATGCCTTTATGCAAAACCAATTTTATCCATTACAAAAGCTTAAATGTGTATTCCTTTGTTTACTATATTGGGTAAGTCATGTGGAGTATAATTGTGTACTCATGGTGCAACGTTTAAGTTTTGCAAGTGAGATAACTCTGACCTACAGCTACATCTATGCTCTTGAGCACTACTATGATTAGGACCAGGAGTGAGCCATAGCCCTTATGCATGCTGTAGCTCGAGGATGTGGCATGGTCCACCAGATGTATCTTTTATTTAAAACTTTTCATATGAATAGTTTTTATGTAGTACTCTAGATGATGAACTTAATGTTTGTTGAACAACTCGTG